ATGTAACCCGTTGAGACCGAACAGTTTACGACTCGTAACCCGTTGAAATCGAACCATTTACGACCGGTAATCTGTTATGACTGAGTCGTTTACAACCTGTAACCCAATATGTTTATGATATGAGACTTTTCAACCCACTACTCGATAAACCTAACTTATTTATGACTTAACTTGATTATAACATGACCCGTTTCTACCCATTATCTGACTAACTCGATTTTAACCCAATATGATTTGGACTGAAACCCGCTTTAAATTGGGTAAACCCGTTTTCAAACCGACTAAGTTCAATCCAAACTGATTATGACCTGAACCGATAATGATTGGACCTGATTTCACCCGATCTGTTTTGAACTGAAACCATTTTCAAACTGACCAGTTTAACCCAAACTGATTATGACCCCAACCGATTACAACCCGATTCGATTAGGACCCGAATTGTTTTGAACCGAAACCCACTTTAAACTGGCTAAACCTGTTTTCAAACCGACCCAATTCAACCCTAACTGATTATTACCCGAACCAACTACAACACGACCCAATTAGGACCCAACCCGAATAGAAACTGCAATAAAAAAACCAAATCAAACTAACCCGATGATTTTCAAAACCGATCCAAACTGACTTGCTAATCTTTTCAACCTGTTATAAACCGATCTGTTATAAGCCGAAACTGATAAACCCAACCCAAACCCAAACTGTTTATCCGAATTGACACCCGACCTCAACCTAGAGTTGACTAAATTATCTAGGGACAAAAATATGGTGATCTAACAAGTAACAATATAATGGTACAATATACTTGAGTTTTTGAAGCACTTGTATATTATGAACCTACCAGCCTGTGTGTAGCCGACACAATGAGAGTTTGCACTTACTAATAAGATAAAATAGGCCCTTTTATTTGGATTTTTTCACAATACAACTAACTTTAATTTGCTAGCTTTGCTTCGCTACCATTTTGCATAATGCAAGGGGCATTTATATTAATGGCACACGTTGAATGGGAGGTCCCTTTTGGATTTGATACATGTTTGCAATGCCATGGTTGGCTACCAAAATATCATCGAAATCGATTTGATCATTCGTTTGTTATGTACTTACATAGCGTGAGATGTCATCTGATCCGTCTCTATGTTATTTATAGCAAATTTTTATTTTGACAACTAAGTTTATAGCAATTTAATTGTTGATTTTTTATATTTTTATATCCTCTTTACCTTCAGCATCTTAATTATTAAAAACACAAATACTATGCATACACTTAAATTTGCTAAATTTTTTAAAAATTATTATAAGTATGTTCAATAGTATAATGAGAAAAGATTGATGATTTACTTAAACAGAAAAAGACATAATTAATGTTATGTAACTTTTTGGTTCAAAAAAAAAAAAATATGTAACTTTTTTTATTAAAAAAATTAATTTTCTTTTAGCTTGTCACCTTGTTAGTAGACCATACCACAAATATTATGATAGCTCTAATAATAATAGCCTTAATCTATATCTACCTCCATAATTTTTGTATAATAATTTGTGATAGTGCATTAAGGAACGAAGGAGCGGTATTGCTTCCCATGACATTGATGTTGGTCGAAAAGATTTTATAGAAAATTATTTTTATTTTGTTATAAATAAAATAATTAAATAATAGAGCAAATAAAGGTCCTACCTTCCAACAATCACCTACTTCTTCAATTAATGAACCCATGAATCTGACTAGAAAAGTACCAGTATGTATGGCAATACCAATATATACCATGGCATTGCCTTCACTTACACCTACATCATATAATTTATATACCCCACTTATTTTGTTGTTTATCTTAAAATTGCAATTCCTATTTTGTAAATACTATGTACTTATATATATTGCATCATATTAATTGATGCATGACGACCCACACTGGTATATAAATTTCTACAATTTAATATCAAATTAATGTTTTTCTTATACATAGATATAAAGATTTAATTGCGAATCTAGAATAATTTTCAAAATGTGCAAATTAAAAATGGTTTGGAATGCTCGTTTAAGATTATAACAAAATGAGAATGCAGTTGCTCATCACATACTTGATAGATTATGTAAATAACTTGTATTTTATTTAGTTCGTAATGTACTAGTTTAACTCTAAAATGCTTATGTATATATTGATGTTTAATCAATAAGAAAGATACAACAAATATTCTCTCATTATTGATAGCAATGTTGATCGTTGTAATAAGAATATGAACAAAAGTTAATAGTTGTAGATGTTGATTATTATAAAAGTGATTAATTAATAACAATGATTTGGAGATTAGTAACTTGATCTTGAACTCAAACATACATGCATGACACCTACTTTAATTATGAAAATTAAAATCTCAGACGCTCAAGTTACTAAAGAAATTTTTGTACTTTAGTTTGATGCCATTATTGTCCTAAAGTCAGAAAGTACCATGACTTTTTAGAGTCTTGTCGGTTGAGAGAAGCTTGTTTAAGTGACAAAAAACGACTTGTGTAAGCAACACAATTAGCTAAGCAAACAACAAACTACTCCAATAACGTTGCTCCAATATGCTTTCTACCATAACGGATGAAGTAAAATTAAACTAGAGGGTATTTTTGTAGATAATTCATGTTAACAAATGATAGTGATTAATAACCAAGCAAAGTATGGTCGTCTAACGGTATGGTTTGCTTGTCACAAGATATTCACAATTATGCGTTTGTGGAATCAAATTCCACTACGGGACTTTTTAGGAGTGAGGGAATGAATTCTTACCCTTATCTTTATCGTTCTCCCTTTTTTTGAATAGGCCTTATCTGCTATTTTAGATTAGATTGAATTGTGTAAGGTTCAAACTAATTAAGGTTAAATTTTTTTAAAAAAAAAAATTGCAAAAGGTAAAAATAGTAAATAATGAAGATTGAATTTATGACATTGATAACTTATGGCAGTGATAAATTTATGATTAACCAATTAGATGGTGACTAATGATCACCATAACTAATTAATGGTCCCTTCATTTATTCTTTTGTATTGAGATATTATAGCGAGTTTGGCGAAATACACACCTCTCCTCATAGTTACTACTACGTGTACCTTGGTTTACTCATTGAATAGAGTGGCCGGTGATAAAAGAAATGCTCCCTCCTTTCTCTTGTTTTACTATTGTTTGGAGTCTAGACAAATAATGTATGATCCTATGTTATACTTGACATGTCTTTTATATATTCGGGTACATTTGGATAACTCTATGTTCTGAATAAATGGGGCATCTAACATTTTACTATACGACTTTAGGTACACACATATGTATATAGCATACACGAATTGCGTACCATGTAACCCAATTCTCATTCTTGTGTTTAATAAAAAAAAACTTGATCTCCCATTCACAATCACTTCATTGAAAGGTGTCGCGTTACCCAACCCTCACAATCAGAAAATAAATTTCGAAAAAAATATCAAATAATGTTGTAATTATCCATCCTATCCCCCACAAATTGAATAAAGGCGCTAAAATGAAATTTCAATCACATACCATCACTTTGTGTCATATGAAAAATCGTGACAATTTTTGTCGAACACCACATTGCTTTGCTATAGATCTAAGCAAATGAGGGAGTACTAAGCTTTGCGGACTAATTAATATTTCAAATTTACGCGTGAAATTGAAATTTGGTACCATTGTTGGTTACTTTCTATTATCACAATTATTGCTATTACACAATCTTGATTGAGATGAGGTTGCCATCGCACATTAGAAGCTAGGCCTACTCACTACCAATAAACAGGTTCACTGTATAACTATTGGTTGCCAGTGTTCAACAAATTATTGTCGGTTGAGATTGGCTTGTTGAGCGGCACAATGGCCCTTCTCTAAGCAAAAAGATTAGCTAATTAATTAATTTATAATTAATGCAACTAATTTTTAGATTACTATAACTAATAAAGTCAGAAAGAAAAGGTTTATCTTGGCATTGTTAGTGACATTGTAACAACCATCCGGCCTCCTATAAGAAAAATTAACAAGGTCTAATTAAAAACATATCTTCATTAATTCTAATTTAAGGCCTACCAACATTCCCTCACAAATTAATTATACTTCCTTCGTTTTAAATTACGGAAAAAATATATATTGATGTGACAAAACTCATTAATCCATTCATATAAAAATAATAGAATGGATGAATTACCCCGTATTAGTTGCAAACCCAAATTGAATCTGAAGTCATATGATCTCGACGGAAATTTAATCATCCAATCAAATCTTTAAATTTATTTGCCTTATATTCGTAACTAATAATTTTTTTTTATAAAAAACTAATTGACAATATAACCAAATATGACCAACATATGACCCAAATTGAACTCTATCGTATTACTTGGTTTTTACACTAAGAAATTTCATTTATGTTCTAAAAATTAGTGGAGCTTTTGTATTTAAAGAGTACTATTCTATGTAAAGAATATTATAATATGCTCCTATACAACATAATATTGTAATGTATGCTAATATAACTGGCTTGAGAAAAATTATTATAAACATGTATAGATTATTCAGACAAGAAGATTCAGATCTATTTAAAATCAGGCAGAACTAGTATAAGATTATACACATATTATAAGAACCTAATTAATAAAGTTAAAAATTACAATGTACATTACTGAGATTGCTCTTTCATGTCACATGTATAAATCACTAAAATAACCACATAAATAAGCAAGTTGTTTAGACAAAAGTACCATGCAAATTATCAAAAAATTAAGAGTTAAAATTATATACTCATCTTGTTTTTGCATCTACACATTAATAAAGAGTAAACAAAGGTAGATGAGATCACTACCATACCATTTATCACGTATTACAACTTCTTCCATCTTACGGCCTTACCATTTTCTTAAATTTTTTTTTAAAAAAGGTAAGAAATAAAGAAAAAGATCTCATGTTTATTTTTATTTTTTGGGTGTAAATTTGCATGTAATGACATAAATCACACCTTAGTACTAACAACAACGGATCCTTCTACTACCAACAAGCCCAAAACACAAAATTGATCTAGGACTCCTCATATCTTCATGTTCATCCTCTTCTTGACCATTCACAAGGAAATCAAACAATGATCCGGGGCTAGACAACGTTCTCCTCTTCCCTCGACTCAGACTCAGACTCAGACTCCGGCTCTCTTCAGTGCTCCTCATCATCGAGGAGTCTGACACTAACATCGACGATGAGGGGCAAGACAATGTAGATGACGATGAGGATGATGCCGAAGAGACTTGTCTCCTATGCAAACTCTTAGAAAACAATGACCCTAGAAAAATCTTACTAGAAAACCTTTTAACACCATTGTTAGTAGGCAACTTTTTAGGTTGCTTAAGGTAATAAGAAGGTGGTGGAGTAAGAGGTGGAATATTTTGCTTGTTTTCTTCTTCTTTTGAGTAATCAACGTGCTTAGTATGTTTAGGTGTACCTGGTTTAGCCTCCCAAACAAACGGCACAGCTACTGAATTACCACCGTAATACACTCTAAATGATGGATTAGAAATTGAACTTTCCTTTGTTACTAATTTTGAGAATTTTTCATCTTCTTTGATTGGGAGCATTTTTTTTTCCCTACTTTTTGGATGAATATTTGATTTTTTGTGGTTGTGAATTTGGTTAAGACTTCTTGTTGGAATAGGAGTGTGGTATATAAAGAGAGAGAGAGGAGTGGTAGGGAGCAAATTATATGAGGTAGGACCATATAATATATATGACTAAGCATATGAAGAAATATACTCATTTGGTCATTCCTCAATACTCGTAATAGTTTGATTTTGACATTTTTTTTATATTAACTTTGATTACATATTTTAGTACAAATAATATTGTTTAATATAATGTTGGATTATTATTTTCAATGTATATTTCTAATACATAGATTTTTTTTAAGGATTTTTTGTCGGAAATTACCTAATAAAACCTAAATTTTGTAAGAAACTACTTATTAAAAAATGTTTTAAAAAAATACCTAATAAAAGGTAAAATGTTGTAAGATACTACCTAATTATACGGTGTTGACCCACCTCAAAACACCCCAGAAACCGCCACGGGGGTTGGTTTTCAGGGTATTTTCAGGGTGGTTAGAGGATATTCCTAGTTGGCAAGGGTAATTTCGTGATTCGGGATGTTGGTTTTTGGGGTTAGAGGTGGTGATTTTGGGGTTGGAGGGGTGGTTTCGTCGTGGTGGAGGAAATTTCAAGCAAGTTGAATTGATGTGGGTTTTGGGGTGAAAGTGGTGGTTGTGGAGGTGTTCTGAGGTGGGTCAATGGTGGATTTTCGGCAGAGGTAGAATTTAACAATATTTTACTTTTTATTAGGCAGTTTCTTACAATATTGTTCCTTTTATTAGGGAGTTTCTTACAATTTTTTTTTTTTTATCACAAATTCTTATATATGGCTGGCCCACCGGCTGGTCATTATAGAGATTACTTCATTAGTATAATAGGGATTACTTAGTCAATGTTAAAGGGGTTATTTCATCAGTGTTATAGGGTTACTCGCTTAGTGTTATAGGGGTTACTCAATCTGTATTACAGGGGTTACTTGATCAGTGTTATAGGGATTACTTTATTATTTTATAAGTAGACACACGGTGTGACCAACCACACACGAGACTGACTGTTTTTTTATTAGATAGTTTTTCACAAAATCTGGGTTTTATTAGGTAGGTTTTTTACAAGAATTTCTTTTTTTTTTTTTTTAAAAAAAAAATTATCACACATAATTAAGCATATTAAAGGACAAAATTTTATATTGACACATGTGTCAATCAAACTGATACGAAGAAACGGAGGAGTATCATATCATGATTTGAGCATACATTAAGTATTATTTTTTAGAGTAAATTTTTTTATATTATAATAATTGAAGGTTTCAAGATCTGTGCTAAGATGGGTGATCTGAAATATTGCATTAGAATCTTAAATGTCATTGACTTAGTTTCCTAGAAAATGGAAATTTTTGTCTCTGTAAATTCAATTGACTTATTTTAACTGAAGTTCTAGATGGTCAAGGTAGTAAAGATTAACCCACACGTACGCCAATTATAATTAAATTGTGTTTAGTTTATTATTGAGTGTACGTGATGAAACAGCTAGCAAAATTTGAATTTAATTAATTTCTATTATTGTATGATTTTTTTTGGAAGAAGAATATGTTTTTGCAATTGGAGCTTCCTTGATTCATGGTGGTGCTTACCACTCATGGTTATACAGCAGTGTTTGAGCTAGTGGGATTAAAAATAAAGGGCTCGTTTGTTTGATGCAAATTATTTTCTGCTGTAATGACAATGAAAGAGCGAACAAATAATTTTTTAGATACGTAATTTCATTCGTTTGCTCTTTCAATTCAGTGTCACTACAGCAGAACATAACTCACATCTAATCTTCAAACAAAAAATAAATAAGCAATTGAATACTATGAAATATCAAACAATAATCATTACAAATTATGTCTTAATGTTATATAGCTACTATTAAGGTTGATAATTCTCTTAATTTATGTGAATGTGTTATTCCTATTCCCTACATATAACGTCCAAAGGTCGAATATGATGATTTATATCAAATGAGAAGTGACTTATTTTAATCAATAATTAATTCATTAAAAGTCTAAACTATTTTCATGTAGTTGTAGTTTAATTAGGTTGTTAAACCATTTTTTTTCTCTATTTTTAATTACACTGCACTGAGAATTTTCCATCAATTTAAACTAAGAAGAATATGGTCATTAGCTAGAATCGTGGATACTAGTAGACTACCTAAGTACCTATCTATCTTGGCTATCTACCAAACAATATTTACGTCGGTTCCACGTACTACAAAATATTAAACTCAAATGCTTACCTAATGTCGTTGCTATTTTAATCATAACACCAAATTAAATTACACTTCGAATAAAATGTCAACTTAATAAATCGATTATATATCAGCAAAAAATATAGAATAATATTAAAAATAATACAATAATGCTGTTATTATTATTATTATTATTATTATTATTATTATTATTATTATTAATGAAAGAAAAAAACAAATACTACCCTAACATTAGAGAAGTCTTCATTCAAAACTACTCCCTCTATTTCCCTTTTTTACGCACTACATGACTTATAAAGCTCTCATATAATAATGGACTCATGGTGCAAACATAAAGGGAGTATAACTTAACTTATCGAGTGAAATGAGATAAGAAAATTATTAACTACTCTTTACCTTTTTTTTAAAAAAAAAATAATAAAAATTTACTCAATTTATTTTATTCTTTTATGACAAATTTTTATTTACTTTTTATTAACTACAACCTCACTTTGTTGGGCCCAATTATATTAAATAAATCCCTTACACTCTATCGTTCTCATCTTAAAGCAAAAGTAGTCAGATGCATAGGCTTCATTTCCACCTTTTTTTTTTTTTTACAGTAATTAAGCTAAGCAAAAATGGAGGGAGTATAAAAATAACTTTAAGTCAGATAAACTCCCTATGTCCTAGAATAACTGACACAGTCAACCTTTGCACACATGCCTATGCATTAGTTTGATCTTAATTTTATATAATTAAATATTAATAAAAATTATAACAAAGGTTATATTATAAAACTTTATATTAATACCTATCTAACAACATTTTTTATGACAAAATATGTTTAAATTATGTTAGTGAAAAATTATAGTCAAATTTAATATATGAATAGTAAAAATAAGTTCTACTTCTCAGTTATATTGGGACAGATGGAGTATATATTAAACAATGCATTTCCCAAAATGATACTATAAGTTTAGAAACTTATACTCCTTGATTGATGTTAATATTTAATAACAAAATCACTACGAAGTAACAAAATTCACAATTTTTTTATATGTGGCTGTTGGCCACACCGTGTAGCAGGGGTTACTTGTAGGGGGTTGCACGTTTGATCAGAGGTTACTTGTAGGGATTATTTATTCTGTTATCCAAGGGTTACTCGTTTGGTAAGAGGTTACTTATTTAGGGGTTACTCATTTGATCTTGGGTAAATTATAGGGGGTTACTTATTCAAGGGTTACTCTGTCGGTCAGGGGTTACTCTCACACAGAAAACGCGCTAACCGACTGGGTAAGTAACCTCTACAAGTAACCCCTGAATAAGTAACCCCCTACAAGTAATTCCTGAGTAAGTAATCCTTACAAGTAACCCCCAAATAAATTAAATAACCCATACATGTAACCTCAGAATAAGTAACCCCTACAAATAAACCCTGCTACACGGTGTGGCCAGCCACACAGAAAAGTTGCTGAACCAAATTACACGTTGATTGATGTTAATATTTAATTAATAATCCTTAATTTTTCCATTAATCTTCTTTTATGTCTATTTCCTCTATAAAATAATACTGTAACAGAAGAATGATCTCCGTAAAGCCCTAATGACTACGAAGTACGTATATCATTACTCTAAAATAAAACAAAACATTGTTGTAGCTTACTTCACAAAATCATGCAGTTTTATCAATGTGACTTCTTGGAATTTTGCGCATAACTAACAAGTGGTTCGACATAAAATTTAATCCTTTCACTGAAATAATTACTACAAAGTATTAATTGTATTAACTTTACTACCATCATTCCAAAAACAATAACCAATGTTTTTTTTTTCTTTTTTCCCCCTCTTATGATCAGGTGAATATGACGTCACACATCCAATTATTTAATACGAGTAACTAGATAAATTAGTTGCGGCTTAAATGAGAAAGATATGGAAGAAGCAATCATGGAACATTGACTCTATTTCACTGTTTGTTGATAGTCCAAGCTTTCAAGCAAGGCCTTAAAGTTGACGTACTATTGTCTATTGATGACTTATGCTCAAAGTTTAATCTACCAGCATTTTCATTCTAAAATTGATTACGCCGTATCAACTAGGTTTTTGGCTCATATAATGCACGAGTTTAACCCTTATTTTCTTTTTAAATACTTGTACTTTGTATCAGTTGTTGCATGAAACATTTCATCCTGCCAATTGCACTCATTATCAAATCTTGCCATGTATGCAAATATGCAATACATGTATCAAGGAAATGTCAACAGGGAACTTTGTAATAGTGTGTCAAATTGCAGATCTCTATTCGGCGTGAAATCAATGCCACTTGCCCCCAAATTCAATATGAATTCAAATCTTAAATAATCAAATCATGCCACAATACATGTATCATTTTGACGTTGTGCTCATTTCAATATACAACTTTTAGTCATGCTCAATATTTTCATGCCCTCTTCTATATTGTTGTTAATGTTGGGATTTATTATAAGGAAGTTGATTTGTTATAGCCGACTAGCCGTGATAAACTAATACTACGAAGTAAATGTTACATTTTGACTAAACATTACTAAAATAGGACTTTGACTATCATTTTACATAAGTATATATTAGTAAAAATTATAAGAAAATTGATATTATAAAAGTATATACGAAGTATATTGTGACGAATCCAACAATACCTGATTCAATTTGGATGGATGGAGACATGGAGTATATCAGTGAGACTTCCTTTGTCTTGGGTAAACCTTTAGTAGATCTATATACAC